CAAAAGCAAAGTATTCCCATCCAGTCATCACGACTCACTGTAGAACAAAAACGCCTCCTTTCGTCATTGGAAACCTATCTTGTGTTTTGTTTTCAGTAAAATCCGAATAACCATGATTGTGCAAGTGATATGGGGGCTATAAGAGAGTCTTCCATTACCTCGCCGTCGCTTGATGACAACACCCTAAGAACCCCATCGCAATAAAATGGTAGCCGATCACGGTCCATGGATTTCCATCTATTTCTGGGTTCCATGATACGCGGATCTAATCTATTACCGCCTTTCGGATACTTGGCACTTGTCTTGTTTATCTCAGTTGTATAAATCACTTACTACGGTTTTTAGCATAGCCAGAGGGCCGTAAACCAGATAACCCGCGAGCGGTCATTGATATCAGAGATTCTGTAGCAGCGGTATCCCTCTGGACTCCGGTTCATTCTTATCCTACATATAAAGCAAGCTAACAGGAGTAGCCATATACTACACTGGTATCCTCACCATCAACGGTCCGTCCCGGACTGCGGACGACAGTCCATGGAGTGAATAGTCCAGACCAATTGGCAGTGGTAACGGACTACGGCAACCTCAGTCCGATACCGTCAGAACCTCGGAGTGGAGCGGATGAGGCGTGGAGAACACTATCTGGGGTTCCAGTGAAACCAAAAATTAAGTTTGAAGAATCAAGAGTCGCTTACCAATTTTCTACATATATGGCATGGCAAGAGATTGATATGATGAAGACGATGCTGAAGACTGAAGATATGCAAACAATTTAACGACACTTAGACATCAAAAATCACACCTTGAAAAATCACAAGTGACCATTATGAGAATTCCGAAGGAAAAAAATTTCATTAAGACTATAACTATAGTACAAGGTGGATATTAACACTTTGGTGATCTTAACGCCTTTAGTACAAATAAAGCAATCCTGGATACCCTTAAACCTTCTATAGACCATACAAAACAAACTCCATCTATACCTAACTCCTTGCCCAGCTCTATGTTAAAAGTATATGCAAACAAACTCCGTCTTGAACCAACTCCCTACCCAGTTTTTTTTTTTTTTTTTTTTTTTTTTTTTTTTTTTTTTTTCCGTGACAAACAGAACAGAACAAATCAGTAGAAATCAAAGCCCAAAATAAAACAGAATGCAAAAACAGACAATACAAGACAATATAACCGTAAGAAACAAACTCCATCTATACCTAACTCCTTGCCCAGCTCTATGTTGAAAAGATATGCAAACAAACTTCTTCTTGAACTAACTCCTTGCCCAGTGTTTTTTTTTTTTTTTTTTTTTTTTTTTAGTGATAAACAGAATAAAACAAATCAACAGAAAACAAAGCCCAAAATAAAACAGAATGCAGAAACAGACAATACAAGACAATGTACAAAAACAACTAGAATCTCTGCTTATGCGGTAGCAGATTCGGAAGCGGCGCTGCTCTCAGAGGTGGTGGTGGGGGCGGCCGAGCTAGTAGTGATGGTGGAGGAGGCGGCATCGGAGGCAGAGGCGGTAGAAAGGGGAGCAAAGGTCCTGGTTTTGGTGTAGGTATTACCGCCCACTCCAGGCTTGATCCTCGCCGCATAGTCGATTGGCTGCTCCTCTTCCTCCTCCTCGGTGGAAGCCTGCTCCTCGGTGTTGTAGGATTCGGATCCATCTCCAATCTCAAGGAGACCGCCAGACTCCTCATTGTCCTTGAAGTCGACATCCAGAGGAGTTGAATCATCGAAACCGGCCTCCTTCCAGGCATCGGCAATAGGGGTCTTGATGTAAGGTTTGCATCCCTTACTCTTGTCGTGCTTGATCTTGCAGACCAAGATATCCTGGACCTTCTGAGGAATCTGATCAATGCTGGTGTAGCCGCGAGCATCGATCTCGCTCAAGAACAGAGGGCAGAGGTGGTCAGGCACCTTTCCTTGGAAACCGAGACCTTTCCAGCCGTGGGAAATACCAAGACGGCAGCGAGCAATGTTGCGCTCGAGACGGTTGAGAATCTTGGTCTTGATCAGGCGGGGGCAGAGGAAGTTCTGGTATTCCTCAATACCGGTGGAAGACTCGAGACGCATGGCTCCCCAGACGGAGGAGGTGTCCCGTCCAAGAGGTCCACAGTAGCAGGGGAGGGATTTGCGAGAACTGAATGGGTCGTCGTCGTTCCTGTTCTGGTAGCCATCGGTGGGACCGTTCCAGTTGTAAGGAGTGTGACAGACTGGAATGGAGAACATTCCGGTGGTGGAGGAGTTGGTGAGGTGGTCGGCGGTGGGACCGGTCATGACGGTGCGGAATCCGGAGGTGTCATACAATGCAACCTCTCCATCCTGGGCGGCGTTCGAGTCGGCGGTCTTGACAGAGGACTCGATGATGTCTCCAATGGTTATGGCGTTGCTGGCCATGCGGTCGAGGCCAACGGGGTCCTCGACGTGGTGGGCGTTGGGGAGTCCTCGATCTGCCCAGCGGTAGAAGTAACAGACTTCTCCGTAGATGCATGCCTTCGATTTGGCGGGGCCGGTATTGTCAGCATAGCAATTCGGAGCGGCGACTCCAGTGTTCGAAAAGGTGCTGCGGCGTTCCTTATGGCGGAAGTCTGGGGTGCAGCTAATGAAATGCTTTTGTGCACGAAGAGCTGCGTTCAATGTCTTCATGTACATGTTTTGGGTGAGCGTATCCTCAACGGCAGAAGAGGTCCAATGTGAGAGGATCGAGGAATCGACAGGCAGGAAAGTACCCATTCCGAGGATGTTGGTCAAGTAAGAGGTTCCATCGGCCTTGATTGAGGAGGTTCCGGGGCCAAATACGTAGACAAAGTTCTCCTTCAGGCGGCGTCTGGCAAAACGACCAGTCTCCTGGACCATGGCAGATACCATGGCTACATTGGCATCGTGTGGCGAATCTGGGCTGGGAACCTGGAATGACTCGATCCAGTCGCGGAGGTAGATGGGGAGGGCGATGTTGAGACCGATGGCCCAAAGTCGATCGGACGCCTCCTTGTACAGGCGGGTGTTGAAGATCCCGTCAACGTCTTCTTTAAACTTTCCGATACCTAAACGATGCTTCGCCAACTTTGTCGGGGCGAACGAGTCATCATCGATATGGTTAAGCCAGGTGGCTGGAACTTCACCACGTCCCTCCCAAACCTCGCCCCAGAACTCCTTTATCTGTGCATCGTTCTCGTCGGTGTACATTTTCTCGAACTCGCCAATGATGCTGTCGACAATTCCCTTGAAGGGCATGAGCGGGGTGATGGTCTGGATGATATTGGTAACTGCCCAGCTGATCAATCCAGCGAAAAAGGCCATTGCCTTGGCCTTTTCTTGTTCTTGGGGGGTTTTGGAGAGCATAAAGTTCTCGAGTGACATCCGGGGAACAAGTCCCATCATGTTCAGTTGGGCACTCTCGATGCCATCGTATACAAGCTCACCAACAGTCAAAAGATTCTGACCAGAAGCAAGTGTGAAGAAGACCTTTCGGGCCAAGTCGAGGTCGCCAATGCTCTTGACTACAGTGGGACAGTCGGTACGGCACTGGTGGGAGGTTCCCAGGGCGCACTTAAAGTTATTCAACCCAAGGTAATTATTGGCGATAGTCGCCAACATGCCGTGGCGGACGAAAAACTCGGTGTCGGAGTTCTCCTTGTTAAAGTCGACCATCCACTTGTAGGCGCCTGCTTCCAGGAAGTTGGCTTGGGTAGGCTCGAACTGAGGTGACTGGCAGATTTCGAGGGCTTCGATGTCCGTAGGAGCTCGGTCGTGCTCTGTAAGGGAGATGGCACGAATGCCGGTAGCGGCGGAGGATGTGGTGTTGGCTTCGGTGGTGGTGATGAGAGTGGTGGTATTGTCGTTGATGGTATCGTTGTCGGTGGTAAAGGCGGGGGCCGTGACGTTCTGGCAATTACCGAGAAGGACATTCAAGGCCAATAGATAAGCGATTGAAAGACGTTTCTTCATACCAGACGTGGTGGGGTTCAAAGTGGAAACCTTCATTGTGGCGGTATTTCAATTTTGTGAGAAGATTGAGTAGTAGGAACGGAGGAGAAGAAGCGGCCTATATATATCATAAGGTAGTGCGGCGAAAAACACAGTCCAAAAAGCAGTCATAGTGTCACCACGTAGCGAACCTTGATCCGTCAGAGACGGCTTTGATCCGTCCGTAATCGTTGACGACATTGTTGCAGGACATTATCCCTCGCGGAATCCGGAGAACGCATGATACCTCCCGAGCGAATCATCGCCTGTGAGTCTTGTAAGCGGCTTTAGCGAACGAAGCCTGCTGTATGTAGTGTCTAGCCGCTTTTAGACAGAAACAGGCTCCGCTTCTAAGCGAGCAGGTAATTGCCGCCATAATATTCCTATTCTGAGTGGAAAGCTTCATGGAATCGCTCTGCACGGGAACCGAAGCGACTCCGCTATTCGTAAGCCAGTACCGGGTTACACAATCATTCACTCCTTCAGCCCTCGCGCGCACCATCTGCGCGTGTTCCTCTCGTAAAGCAGCACCGGTTACCTGACTTGTATCCCACCGATCCATACACCACATCATTATCTTTGTCTTAATGGATAACAAATATTACATATTTGATATTACATATTTGAGAAGAAGTAGATCTTAGCGAGGAGAATCGCGTTACAAGTACTATTCAATATTATTTCCTTAGATTCATATAAAGAAAACGGACTTTCCCACACGGTTATGTGCCAGTTAGCGAGTATTAACCCCCATCACATGATACCGTACATGTTTACACCATACATCGCGATCGGCCCTATACATTCCAAGTAACGTATCAAAATGTCTACATTTTTTCAACGGCGTTTTATTTAACTTTAACTATCGGAGATGTGATGCATTTAATAAATATCATAGCCTAGATGCTTCTAGTCTTATTCTCGCGCCCCAGGAATAGAACACCAAGAATTCGTAACGATGACATGTGAAGTAAACTTAGTATGAATTATAGATTTTCGCTGTGAAAAAAAGCCACCGCTGCGCCGCAAAAAGATGGGTTCGATGGGACTCGAACTCACATACGGCCCCTGTGCATTGTAAAGTAACCGTGCTCTAAGTTCTAACCAATTGAACTACAAACCCCGGGGATGAAAGATGGTGGTAGAACTAAAATATGAACTGTTACTGGGTAGACGGCGAAAAGACGGTTCTTGATTCTTGGTTCGTGATTCTTGTGGCAGTTGTGGATGGCGGGTTTGGAAGGCGGTAGATGTTGATGGTTCCAACTTCCGCATCGAGGCCAGATTCGGGTAGGTGTTATCTCCTTGAGCCGGAGATTCGGAGTGAAGGCTTTGTCTCGTGAAAATGGATATCTGCGGCTGGAAGCGGTGAGAATGTCCGTTATGATGAAGACTGGAATAAACGTCGGAATAAAAGCTGGGAAATTCTTTGTATCTGGGGCTTCATAAGTTTGGTTGACATCGTGGGTTGGTTTAATCATTGTAGTGGGGTTACCGAAATAGTTCGATTCTGCTACTCGTAAACCAGTACCTGATGACACCATCGTTCATCCCTTCAGCCCACGCGTAATCCATCTACGCGTATAACCTACGTAAAGCAGCACCGGGTACCTAGCTTGTCTCCCATCGATCCGTACATCATATCATTATCTCTCTCTTGATCGATATCTTATTTCACTTTCAATTTGAGACAATAGGACTTACATCCGTCCTCGGGGCTTTTCGATTCTTCCCAACATCTGTTACACTATCGTTGGTTCCGATTATACAGGAACCCTACTCCACACTCCAATCCGCTCCATGCTCCGGTTTACTCCTATTGAACGAAATAGGGAAAGATCGAGTGGAGGTGGAGAACACTATTGATGAAAGCAGTAATGATCTAAGTCTACGCATTCTACGGAAAGAGATATACCCAATGTGGAGCCTCCACCTCCACGTATAACTCACATCAACCCTAACTGTGTTCACGGGCGAGTGACCTAAACCCTAATTATGGCTGGGACACCAAAGCCCTAGGCGGCTTTTTAACAACTCCATCCACAGCCAGCCCCCTCATCCGTAAGATTGCACCATTACATTCGACCCACAACTACCTGAAAATCAAAATGTTGTAAGTATCCAGTGATCTTCCACAACCTTTCAAATTCGATTCCTCAGTGCCAATGAGAGCCACAAAACGCCAAATAAGCAACGATAAGCAGAGTATTTCATTTTTATGAGCACATACCAATAAACCCACCAAACAACCAATTATCACTCGATTATTACCAGTCACACATTATCACTCTCAACGCGACAAATTCAAAATGCCCAAAAAAAAAACCTCCTCCAGTATAATAAAACTCCAAAAGTGCCAGTAATTAACCACATCCAAAGAAGCAATAAATAGACGCCCAAAAACAATACACCGCTGGTATTATACCCCATTCCCGATTTCCTGACCAAGATGCAACTCAACCATCCCTCCCCTCCCTCCCGCACACGCACCTAATAAACAACCCCAACCCCAACCAACAACCCAAAATACAATGACCGATAATCAATCATCATTACCGCCCCCTCGGTTCAAAATATTCCTCAACCCTCCTCCTCTTCTCATTCTTATCCTTTCCTTTCTTCCCCCCGCTTTCCGAAGCTTCAGGGGCTTTACTACCCGCTCTACTCCTCGGTTTTTGATTCGGAGCTGGATGAGAAGTTCTAGGTTGCTTAGTGGCTTCTTTGATAACCGGAAGTGATAAGCACCAATCGATATGTTGATTAAACTTGATATCATCCGCGGGTTGAGGTTTGGAACAGATAGGACAGATGTAAGTATCTGGCAGATCTTGTGGGTGGTGTTGCGGTGGGATATGGTTTTTGGTGCTTGATGCTATGGGGGGTTGCAGCTGTGGTTGTTGTTGTGGTTTTTTGGTTGGTGACCTTGATTCTGATCTAGCTCGGTCCCAGGGGTTGGTATTTGAATTAAGAACGGGGAATATCGTAGGTTTTGTCGGTGACTTGACGACCTTCTTTGAGGCCTCAATGGCATCATGAAGTTCCTGTGTCAACCTACGTTCTTGATCCTGCTCTTCCTTCTGGGCGTTCTCGAATTCTTCCTCCGGCCAGATCTCCCAGCCGTCATCGTCTAGTAGCCTTTTCCGCTTGAGGTCTTTTGTACCGCCGTCTTGTTGGCCATCTGCTCGGGTATAGAAACCCGCGGCTTCAAAAAAACCTCCGTGGCTACCGATGTCTTTCTTTGCCAGGTTCACTAGGTTTGTCATACGTAACCCCATGAGACGAAGCTTGAGACCGGGGTATTCACGCTCCAAGGCTGTTAACAAAGGGAGCGAGTAGTTGTAGAGATCTGGGGCGTTTTTGATCGGACGGGGACAGAGTTTTTGTCTAGAGAACACCTGTTTGAAGCAACCAACCATCAGCCATCAGTCATCAGCTATGGATATTGGAAGATGAAGAACATACTTGGTAATCATGCATCTTAATCTTCAAAACCAGTGTTCTACCAGCGACTTCAACTCTTGCCATATCCGCCTCCAACTCAATCGCGATCTTCATAAGTTTCTCTCGTAACTTGGCCGGGTCTGAGATATCGGAGAAGGTGGTTTCTGAGCCGACGGATTTACGCGGGTATTCTGAAATGGGGCGGATGGTGGTACGGCCTATACCAAGGTAGGTTCGGAGGAGGAAGGTAAAGGACTAAATGAGGTAGGGTTAGGAATGGTTTCAATGGAGGAGGGGTGAAGGGTTTTGTGGCCCTTGGTAAGGAGGATAAACTCACTTTTTCACCCCATAACGACATCAGGAAACTTCGGTGAGTGAAGATATCTCCACAGGTCTTGATACCGACACTGTGGAGTTCTCGCTCGAAGACTCTTCCGACGCCGTTGATGCTCCGGACTGGAAGAGAGGAGACGAATTGCATGATTGCTTCTCTCTCTGGTGGGATGTACTGAAGTTGGATATTAGTCAGCTACTCTACATTACAAGCAAATATCAAGCAGAGGCGCTGGATAACGAAGAAGACTTACGAATTGCCCATTGGGCTTATTTATGTTCGATGCGACTTTTGCAAGTTTCGCATTCGGCGCAATTCCAGCAGAGATGGAGATTTGCGTAGTGGAAAGAATCTCAGAACGAATCTGGTGGACAAGTTCTTCAGGATCCAGTTCGGGATGTGCTAACAAATACTTTTCAAATCAGCCAACCATGTTCCCTTATCTCATATCCCACTCCTTCATCCCTTTGGTTTAATCCAACTTACCGGCGTGAGATTCAAATAAGCCTCATCAACACTAGTGGCCTCATATCTCGGATCATATTTGGCAATCACCGTCCTGATCTCTTCCGCTTTTTTCGTATATTTCTCAAAGTTCGGTTTAATAAAAACCAACTTTGGACATATCTTTGCGGCTATGTGACCTGCCATTCCTGATCGGACTCCGTATTTACGTGCTTGGTAGTTGCACGTGGTCAGCACTCCACTACCGACGGCCATAGGGACCAGTTTAAGCTCAGGCCGGTCAAGCTCTTCGACGGAGGCGTAAAAGGCGTCGCAGTCCATGTGCACTGGGGGGTGTCAGCTTACTTCAGCCACCAGCCACAACCTCCTCATTCCAGTTTGGGAGACTTACCGATGACTTGGGTTAAGTCCCGTTCGCTTTCAAGAAGCGCAATCTGTTGGAGGTTAGACACCTTACTTTGCTAGAATCAAGAATAGTCGGAATTAATGGAAATCTTACGTGCTCATCTGCTTTTCTCTCCTCGTATTTTATCTGACCGGGCATAAGCTTAGCTTTCTTCTTAAGAAGCTCTTCTATCTTTGCCGTCAACTGTTTAAATTATTAGCTCTTGATTAGTTCTTTCTCCACCTCATTCTCCAGGTCCTCCTTGCTCTCTTTGTTTGGTCATAATCAATCACTCGTTGGGCAGAGTGCGAGTTTATTTTGAGACGAGAAATTGGAAATAAAACATACCGCTTCATCCCTCCGTTCCTCATTCTCAAAGAATTTCGAGCCAACACTCGCAGCGTAGATTATTTCCCCTACTTTCTGCTGATCCACACCTTCTTGTCCAGCTTTCATCAAGGAGGGTCCCAGAAGGGAGTGATGGAGCGATGTATTAACCCCTCCAACTCCAGTTCCAGATCCAGCTCCTCCTGCTGGTAGCGGTGGTGATGCAGAGTCCTCAGCTTCATCAGCAGCTTTCCTACAAGGCGATAAAGGCTCTCTAGGACGCTGAAAAGAAGGAGCAAGTTCCTTAAACAAGCCCTCTTCGCGTTCTTCACCCAATATCGCCGATGGTATAGCTGGCTTCTTGAACTCGCTCTCTGATTCTGGGGGAGGCAGCTGGAACGAGGGGGCAAGGTCCTTAAACAAGCCCTCGAGTTCATCAGCTGCCTTCCTAGGCGGTGAGATTGGTTCCCTGGGATGCTGAAATGATGGGGCTAGGTCCTTAAACAAGCCCTGAATTTCTGGTGGGGGATTCTGGGGTTCTGGTGAGGGGGGTATTGCCTCGGGTTCCTGGGTTGAGTTCTTTGGTAGTTGGTAGGAGGTTGGGATAAAAGCTTGTTCCTTAAACGAGCTGTTTATTAACCTCACAGGACGCTGGAGAAATTCCTGCACTAGGTTTTGTGCTGAGGGAGGAGGGGAATTGTTTTGAGACGGTATCTGGGTAGTGGGCGGCAAGAAGTCCTTAACTTCAAGCTCGTCATAAAGATCCGGTCTTGGTTGCGCCGACGGTGGGGTTATATTGCCGGGGATTTGGGGATACAAAAGCCCGTTATTTCGTGGCGGTTGTGTAGAGGGTGGTATTTCGTCATAAATATCATCTATTAGTTTATTTAAAAAAAATGTTAAAACGAATCCTTCAGCGGTAATTTTTGGTGTTGGCCTAGAGTTTTACGCACCTTGTTCCGCTTGCTGTCCGGCCTCTTCCCTTGCTCTAAGCTGCAGGAGCTCGTCGTCGGCGCCAAGTTCACTTCCATTCTGAATTTCTTCTTCCTGCTCCACATGACCTAGCTGCGAAGGCCGTTGCGCCGCGATCTCCGCCATAATCTCGTCCCATTCAGCATCATCAGAAAAACTGGGAAATTCGTCCATGTGGGGCATGTCGCGTCGCGCTGAC